TTAGTTTAGATAAGGAAAAATCAAAATTTTATTTTCAACTGCAGTGGCAGAAGAAGGTATTGATATTCCAATGTGTAATTATGTTATTGGATTCAATCCAATTGCAAGTTCAAAGGCATATGTTTAAATGAAAGGAAGAGCTAGAAAAGAAAATTCATAGTTTATGATATTTATGGTAGACAAATTATAGCAAGCATAAGTTTAAAGTCATTAATAAGTTTAAAATAATATTAAATAAATTATTGAAGAATTAACAGCTCCTTAAAGATAATAAATGCTCAATAAAGCAATTCTAAGTTTATGTATTATTTTTATTATATTAATCAGAGACAAAGACTTTTGAAAACACATATTTTGATTCATTTGAAATTGGTGGTTCAGGTGCTCTAATAAATACAAATTGGTCATGTTAATTAATATAGTAATTGTGTTAAAAGTTCAATTAAAAAGATGCTGATAAAATTTCACCTAAATATGCAATTTATTAATTGGGTAGCGCCTAGACAAATTAATAGTATATTGCATTTTTACTTCTCCCAATATAATTAAAGAGTTTCATATTTTATGGAAAACTTGCCCCTACATCCAAAGATGCAAAAGCTTCTGCTGCATTTGAAGCATCAGTTTAATTATATTAGAAAGGATACATTGATGATAATTTGTAAATTTGTTTTGATTGTGATTTGGGTTAACATATAGGAGCAGATTAAGATGATTCTCAAATTATGATGGTAAATATGATTATCATAAATCTTATAGACAAGAGAATAATGGCAAATAGCTTGTAAATATTCTTAAAGGCTAGTATTAACTTAATCTACTATGGGAGGAAAAGTGAATTCTTAAAAAAGATATTATACTAATTTCTTCAAGACTATATTTTCATCTAAAGATTAAGATTAATTTGAAGATTGTTTACTTTATGAATGCCTATTTTAGAATGAGAAAATATTATTAGCATTTCCAAAATAAATGCTTCATTAAATAAATAAGACTGAAAATACTTTGTAGGCTCTTGGTATATAATTTTAATCTATGACTAAAATATCTAGAAGTTAATATTAAAATTTTTATAAAAAATATGTAGAAACAATAATAAAAGAAGAAAATTTAAAATTATTGAGAGATGATATATATGTAATTATTAATTAATGTAAGATTATTATTTATAATTTATAGAATGTTAATTTAGAATAAAAAAAGAGATAGAATAGAATTTACTTCTAATATTAAAGGGTTAAGATAATAGTAAATTTAAACTTAATTATATTATAAATCAATTTGCTTTAAGTTTTAAAGTAGATCTATTTAAAGAAAAAATTAAAGATCATTTAATTCAAAAATTCTCTATTGGACCTTTAAATATCAAACCACATATGAATTAAGTGTTAAATTCCACTAATAAATATATTTAGTATTTTACTTCTCTCAAATATTAATATTAAGATGATATAGATTCATAAAGATTTAATTTTATTTAATATAGTGTTTCTAATGATGTTATCAATTTAGATGTTAAAGATAGATTGGATGAAATAATATTTAAATCTTTGGATTTATAGTCTCATAATTATAATGAATTATTATTAGGACTTTAATATTATAAATTACTTATAGCAGTTGTATTATATGCTAATTATTTTGATAATGATATCAAAATTACCAAAGCTAAATTTAAAACATTTACAAGGAGTACATATATTAGAAATTGTCTACTTGAATCTTATCTCTTCCTTTATTTACATAAAAGTGATTTAAATGATATAACTAAAACATATATTGGTATAGATAGATTTCAGGATAATTTTGATTTAATGATGGAATAATTAATTTTAGATGATTTTTCAGTAGCTAAAAGAAAAACATAGAAATATACAGTTTAAAATAAGATTCATTTTTCAAATTAAGAATTTTTTTAATTTATTCAACAATCATTATTTTTAATTTAAGAGTATGATTAAGATCTTATAAATGGTCTTAATTGGCTTAGAACATTACGAATAATGACTTCTATGAAAATTCATATAAACTCATCAAAATGTTTATATGAATTTTTACCTGAAGTTGTACCTCTTAGTGAATAGACTAGATAAATTTAAAAAGTATTCTCTTAACTTGAATATCAAATTAAATATTAATTTAAACATTTTGAATTATTATTTTAAGCAATGACTGATATTTCATTTAAATTTGTAATAAATAATAAATTAAAAAACAAATATTTTGAACAATTTTAAAAAAAAGAGGAATTTTAAGGAGTATTATAGGAATAATAATGGATTGAATTTAAAAGTCAATTTGAATGTATGAATCAAACAGATTAGAATAATTATGAAAATTCATTATTAGCTATGTTAGGTAAAGCATTATGGAATTATCTAATAATTAAAATATTAAATGAAAATAAATTAGGTATATATTCAAGTACAATATCATAGACTGTTATGCAATAAGAATTCTAGGAAAAATTCTATAGAAAACATAATTTATTGTATATTTAGCCATATATCTAAATTTGCAAAGATATTTGAATAGCATTTACCAAAATCCAATATTTACTTTAGCAACTGAGGTTGAAAAATGTAAAGATTAATCATTAGCATATAAAATTGGTTTAATTTAAAAATCTTAAGTTTCTTAAATTTTAGAAACTGCTTTTTTTGCTCTTGTTGGTGCTATCTATATGGATTCTAATAGTAATTCTAATATAGTAATGTAATGGGCTAAATTGTTATTATAAGATGTTAAAGTTTAATAATTGTATTCAAATGAGTTTATTTAAAGATAACCAAAATTTAAATTTTTTTAATGGTAAAAATGGATTTATATAATTAGGTATCAAAATAATATAGGTAACCCATTCAATTTTAATTTGATCAAGATTCCTCATTAAGATTACAAAAAAGTAACATAAGGAGAAAATTTGTTCATCCCTTATGATATGTTAGAGGCATAGATAGTCAATATAAAGAAAGATAAATATTATGAAATACAATAATTACATATTTATGCTAAAAGCAAAGCAAAAGCTTGGGAAAAATTGTATGAAATGATTGATTATTGAATTTTAAATAATTAAATGTGTATATATTTAGAAAACAAAGAAACCTTATTCTTTATTCATTTATCTTATTATAGCTTATTTATTCTTATTTCTTTAATATCATTTATATAAGAACAGGCTTATATAATTTAAGTTATATCTTGATATTTTAATAATCTAATATTTGATTATATATTAATTTAAATAAAATAAAGTTTAAACATTTATTTAGTATCAAAATAACAATGACAAATTATTTGGAAATTTAAGAGAGAAATAATGAAGATAAATTCAAAAGTAGAAACAATAAATATATTAAAATAATATATTTTGAATCTTCTTGAAATTAAAGTAAAATTTATTGATCTTTATTGATTGTATAAAAAAAGTTAAAGATTAAGTTAAAATGATATTTGGAAATCATAAGGATCATACTCATTCATTTTCCACTTCAATAAATATCATATGAATGAGTAATAACATTAGATGGAGATTGAAATTGATAGATCTAAAATATATTTCTTTTTAATTTACATTCATAATGATTGAAAAATATGTATTTACTATTTAAAACAGTGGATCACATTAGTTTTAAGAATATAAAGAATTTCTAATGGTTAAAAAATTGAAGATGGTTAGTAATATTTTCTATTAATAATGTTTTAATATTATATAAAAATAAATATAGTGAGTTTTTTCAAGAATATTCATATTAAACTGATGAATGATGTCTTGATTTATTTCAATAAAATAAATAATAATGATTAATAGACCTCCAGTACCTAAATTTAGTGATGAATGCTCTACTCCAAAGAGATCTTCTGACTTATTAGAAGAAGTTTAACACTTAGTGTTCAAAATGAATTTGGATGATGCAATTGAAAAAAAAGCAATTGCAATACTTAATAACTTAAATATACCTAATACTTCATTACATGCTTAGGCATTAATACATTGTGCAATGAATGAACTAAATTAACCATTACCAAAAGCAAATGTTAAAGTAGAATACCTTTCTAAATGTATTTAAAACTAATATTCTTCTTTGATTTCTACTTTATGCTAAAAACTCAAATTAAATTCTAAAGCAACAAAAGTTTGCTGCATTCTCTTATAGTAAATGTAACCCTTAATTAACAAATTACCTAAATAACTTTAAAATGCTATATCAGTAAAAATTGCCACTGATATTATATATTTGAAATAAGGCGGGATTAATGCTAAAATTATAGCTTAAATGGCTAATATTAAGGTGGAATAATTTTAAATCAATTTAAATAGAATCAAACCATTTGCTTTCAAAATTATATAAGACTTATTCAACTACATTAGTAACAATTCTTAATGACTTTTATTTATATATGTTTATATTTATTACTCTAATAATTTCACAAATTAAATTGAATTATTTATATATGAGCATATTTAAATTAATGAATATGCTCTTTATTTCATTAAATTAAGTGCTTCATGAATATCGTTTTAATATAAATCGTTTATATTATTAAAATTTAATTAAATTTTTTTTAATAATTTATAATTTTCACCAATTAATAAATTAATTTAATAATAAAAATAAAAATTATTTGAGACAATCATTCATTAAATATTTAAATTATTCTTTTCATATTTAGACACTTAAAATATTCTATAAATCTTTATTTTTATTCAAATGAAATCTCTCTTATGTATTATATATAGTTTTAAGAGAACAATATTAATTTTTATTTTTATTTTAAAGATAATTAATATATTAAAAAATTGTTAATTTACAAAAAAGATTGTGAATTTAAGTGGATAATTTTGGATGAAAAAAAAATTAAAGTTATTTGAAATTGAGGTGGAATTTTTTTAAATAAAGTAAATTACTGACAGCAAGTTGCAAGTTCATTATTAAAAATTATCATAATAATAAGATATAATTGTATATGTATCAATATTATTTTCAACTTATAATTCATTAATAATACCCATAATGATATTACTAATATGACGGTTACAATTATACTTAATTGTAATTAGGGTAGTTTGAGTATTGTTAATTTTATTAATGATAATTTGGATAATAAGTATTATTATTATTATAATAATACTGATTATATTGTAATGGTGTAGATGAATAGTGTTATTATTAAGGAGTAGGAAAATATTAGTTTTATTAAATTGATGTTTAAATCATCTACTATTAAACCTCTTTACATTAATTCAATTTTTCTTATAATAAAATATCTTTTATAAATATTAATAGTACTTGTTGCAGTAATTCCAGTTTCTAAAGAAGATGTATCAATATAGGGTTTCTTTTGGATTTATGATTCAGTGATTTAATTAATTTATGGAGGTTCTATAATTTTTGATGATTCTTTTTTGGCTAAGAAGTCTGACATGAATTATGTAACTGTCAAACTTAATTTCTAATCTGGATTTTCTATTATAGCTTTGATCAATAATCTTTCTTCACTTTCTTAAACCTACTGATTAGATATAAATAATTACATTAAATCTTTTTAAATTTCTTATAATTCCATTGTATTAATTTTTAATTTAATTTTCACTTCTTCCATTTAATTCACCTTAGATTTTGGACCATTTTTTACCATAATTCAAAATCAATTGAAGTAATTAAATTTTTTCTTCTTTAGTCCAGGTAGATCTAGAAATATTTGGATTCAGCACATTATTCCAACGTTCTCTTATTTATTTTGGATATCTCTATGTGGAAGATATAGAATTGAATTAAATAGTCAATTCAGTCCAATTATTTTTATAATAATGGTCACTTAATTATAAATATAAAAGGATACTTTGCAATGTTAATCAGTATTTAATCTTCTTCTTTAGACCAGGGACTAATTTTTAAATTAGAATGAAGAAGAGATATCCATTTTAATTCAACTAAATTTTTATCAACACCCAGAATTTTTGATACATAATCCCAATCATTATCATTCTTAAATAATATATATAACTATTACAGGAATAAGTTCTGAGCGATTCTATGACATTAGATGCTTTGTCATACACCATATAAGTAAATTTTTGTCTTGTTAATGCCATTTTTTTCTGTTTACATCGCTAGTGGATCTAATAAATTAATATCAATATATTACTTTGAAAATACTTCTTCATAGTATTCTGTCATTTATTAATCAGTTGGAAAGTGGTTGACACGCACTTTTACATATTATGTTACTGTTTCTATATCAATAGGGTCTAAGTTTTTGATTTTTTCTAAGAAATCGATCCATTCTTTGGGAAGATGGGCTTGAGTTTAAATCATAAATTAAATATAATCAAGATTTGTTTAGATTAATTGGTTTATAAATTATTGGTCAAAGTCCAATAAGATAATTTAAATCATATTAATTGATTGTATGTATGTATTAACAATGTTCTATTTTTATCCTAATTATATATTTAGTATATTTTTTTTGAGGTTAAGATTTTTTCTAATTTGTCAAATATCCTAATTATATACATTGTATGTATAATTGAAACACTTTGTAATTGAAAACATAGTATAAATTATTGTTTAGTTTGGAAAACAATTTTTAAAAGTTGATGTTTTTTTATAGATATGATTCTTGAAAGTGAATTTGACTAATATCTTAATTGTATAGCATAATACCTATCTTCTAACGAATAATATATTAAGCATTCATACAAAATGATATTTCTATTCTCTTAATTGTATTATGATCATTTCATACATTACTTTACTCATAGTACATTAGTTGCTATCTCTGCTCTCTAGAAACTATCAATGAGTCTTTTCCGATGGCTTGTAATTAAACTTTTGAATTTGTAGAAAGTTTATTAATTTTAAGACTTTTTTCTCTATTAGTTGATTACTTAAGACTAGAGAATAAGAAATTGCATTTATTTTACAAAAGTAAACTCAACTTTTTGTAATTCTAGATGATTTTGCCATGGTCTTAAATATGCAATCTATTTATAGTACAGTTGATTCTTGTAAGTTTACAGCCTTTGAATAAAGTACTGTCTAATTGTAGTCATGATACACTACCCTTCCAATTAATGAAAGAATTAAAATACATATAAGAAGAATGAGTAAGGTTGTAAAATTTTCAATGCAAAATGAAAATAAAAGAAAAGTTTATATAATTAGATTAAAATATGATTTAATTAATGTCACTTGTAAGATTGTTATTTAATTCGAATTTAAATTATATTAGAAATTATACATTGGGAGTTCATTTTACAATATTACATTAAATAATTAGGTTATTTTTATAATAATTTTGATAAATATTAAAACATTAAAATCATAGTTGATATTTGTACTTTGAACTTCTTTGTTAATTATTATTAGAAGATTGTTATTTGGAGAAGAATAATTATTTTTCTGCTTTTTACTATTAATTATTTTAAACTTAAGTTGAAGTATGATGTTAATTTTATTTACTCTTTTTTGGGATTGTAGTAATATTTTTTTCTGGACTTTAAACTATTTACTCTAAAGATTGTTCATTAAAACAGATTTCAATTTCACTATTTTTCAATGTTTATTAAGGATGATTACTCAAATCTTAAGAAAATAATTTGTTTTTAATTTCATCATTATATGCTTATAGATCATCACCCAAAGCTTCTTAGATACTCACTTTAATCTTATTTAAATCTTATTATTCGAGTTTTGATTAATTATCAAAATTATTCTACTCATTTTATTGTACATTTTATATAATAATTTTTTTACTGTCAAACTGTAATTATTATTCTTAATTATTGATTTCATCTTTTTATTCAATATGTGCTATTTATCTTTTAATATTTTATTAGGAATCCATCATTAAAACATCACCTATATAAATTTATATATTTACTTTAAGAACTCTTATTATTATCTTTCTTTTCAATATTATCAGATTCTATTTCAAGTTGAGCATCATCAAAAGGTTTAATAGTGATATCATTATCATTCATCATATTCTATTTTTAATATATATTTAACAAACTTTTTTCCATTCCTCTTCATCTGCTATATCATCAATATCGATAGGTTTAGTAGTTTTTCTTTTTTTCTTTGGTTCTGCTTTAGCTTATATTTGTAATTATTTATTAACTCGTAAAATTTCTTTTTCAATCAACTAAAACTTCCGCTCTAGTTCTCCCTTATAATTAGTTAATTCTTCAACCTCTCAAAATCTTTAATATTCCTAATACCTCTTAATCTTTAATAATATATATAGGTTTTCTCTTGTTTCTGGCATCTCTCAAATCTGCTATCTATTTTGCTAATTAATCATTTATTTATCCTAATTCTTCCAATTTTTATTTCTAAAAATCACTAATACTATATACATAACTCTTCAATCTTTCCTATTACTATCTAGAAACACCACATCCCATTACTTAAATTAAATTAATATCCTATTAAATGAGAAATTATAAATATAATTATTCATTAAACTTAAACAATCCCATCACTATACTTTTTATGAATACTACTTACAGCAGTAGACATTCTTCGTATAATCTTCTCATTCCCCTTATTTATTTTATTAAATGCCTCTTATGTTTTATTAACAGCTTATGTAAATGATTCAAATTAAGTTTATAATCTTATTTTGATAGGACTGTTCTATTCAGAATCAAATATACTTTTAGACTTCCTATAAATTCTTTAAGTTGATGATCCCAATTTATTATTTTGATTTAAATTATTCACTTTTTATCTAGGAGATGAAAAAGAATTTGTCTATGATTTATTTAATTTCATAGTACTCATATTAATTGTATTCTAACCTTTATTAATAATAACATCTTTTATAATCTCTTTCTTTGAAGAACATCCTTCACTTTCATTCATTTAACTCAAAATCCTTCTTCTTCTTGATTCCATAGCAACATCTTTTACTAATGACTAACATTATTTCTAAAAATTCTAATAATATTATTAAATAGGTATTTTTCTTAATGGAGTTCTTCTTTAATTCTTTAATTCCTATTTCTCTATTAATCCTTATGATTAAAGAAATTATTTGGCTTTTTATGTTTCCACTTCAAATTGTTAAATTTACTATTTTCTTTGTGGAGAAGGACTAGTTCTAAATACAGAACGATAAAATAGATTTGTATCATTTTTAGGAGAAGTATCAAAATTGAGTAATTCTTCTCCTTTTATTGGTGCCACAATATCTTTAGGTGATTCTGGTTATAATCTTTTTGGTATTTAAAGTTATTTTCTTTGAATTGGTTCATAATTCTGAGTAGCCAAAAATTATAATTTGAATTCTTCATCCAAAATAAGTGGTTGAGAATTTAGAGTCTAAAATTCTTTATTTAGATTTTATGTTTTATTTTCACTATTTTTATTACTATCTTAGTATTATTATATCTTCTCTATTACTTAGAGTTTTAATAATAATTTTCTATCATTAAGTAAATTTAATCTATTAATAGAAGGTCTTGCATCTACAAATGTGCTTAGTTATTTCATTTCTTCTAATTTCTTATTAAATTATTCTTCTCTCTTTGATTCCTTATTTGTTAATCTAAAATATTTCAATAATTCAATACTTCAATTTTAATTTTGTCTTATTCATTAATGATTAAGCTAGTTTTTTTATTCTATCTTTCCTTTCTTATTCTTACTCTATTTCATATAGGTATGATTTAATTTTATCATCTTTGATAGAATCTGTATAAAACATTTATTTTTTAATAATTCATTTATTTTATCAATCAAGTACAGCAATTAATATTATTATTATATGGTTTTACAAAATTTAATAAATAATTTAATTTACAAAATATGTTGTTTACAATTTATAGAGATCATCCTAAAAAGACATTGTTATTCATAATTATATTTATAAGTGGAATTGCATATAAATTTAGAGCACATTTATTCAGTGCTTTCTTAAAAAAAATGCAAAGTAAATTAACAAAGGAAATGTAATTATAAATGGAAAAAGGATAAAAAATTAATGCTAAATAAGATTAAATACAATAAATTGTAGATTAATACTATGAGAATAAGGGTTTCATGGATACTATCTCAGAAATATTAAAATTAGATTAAATCACTACAATTGGAAACTAATTAAAATAAAATAAACAATTAACTTAGTAATAAAAAGTTGAAATATATTAAGATATAACATAATAATTCTTAATTTTTGAAGTATCTACTATACTCTTTTTTAAAAAATTTGAATGTCTTCTCTTATTATCTCAAATAATCATATTGACAATAACAATTGTTGATGAATAAAAATTTATTGAAAATTTACTTATTGAAATCTAATAAATCATATTAAATTAATAATACCTTTAAGTATCTACTATTATTTAAACATAATTCAATTAGTAAGCTTAAATGTACAGTTATGATAAATAAACTAATTTAAAAGAATTAATAACTAATTTAATATAATTATTATAAAGATAATATATGGACCATAAATTTTAACAACAACTTGAAAATAGATGTAGGGATGAGTTAAAAATAAAAATTAATTAATTATAATAATAATATTAAGGATAACATTTGAAGATTATTTAAGAATAGTCAAAGTAATTAGTAGAACATCTTATAAAATTAAATAAATCTTTGGGATTGATGACATTTTCTGATTTTACCATATCTTATAATTTTTAGAAACTTAACAATAGAATTTAATTAATTCCTCAAATTAATGAAATTAACAATTAAATTCTTATTAAATAATTAATAAAACATCATTAAGTAATCAAAGAAGAATTCTATGCTAAAGAGAGCATTCAAACCAATATTAATTATTATTAGAAAATATTAAAATAAAGTCTAAAAATAAAAGATGAATAATCATCTAATATCTAACCAAATAATGATATGATATTAATACAGAAAGTATTACATGAATTTAAGATATCTGAAATTTTGAAATAATCATAAAATTAAATAATTAAAAAATTAGTATTTGGAAATGAATTAGATGAATCTGTAAGTTCACAATAACAATCTTTAGGTAAATTAGTATGAACAATTTGATTTATCATATTTTATATATTGTATATAAATATAAATATAATTATAAATATTAATATAAATATAGAATAATAATCAATATTAATATGTTTACTATATAATTTCTATTTATTCATAACCATAAGAGTGAATTATAATATATTTTTTTAATAAAACATTTATTTAGTTAAGCTCACTTTCACCACATTATAAATTAATTTTGAGCGAAAAATAACTGAAATTTTTATATCTCCGAAATTAATAATCTGTTAAATAAAATGCAAATATAAACAGCAGCAATAATCAAACAAATAGTGTCTTCTTTATTTGCAGCTGTAGCGTCAATGTTATTGAAAATAGTTTCAGACTTAGATTTTAACTAAACCTTATATCTAAGAGCATTCATAGGATTAATCTTACTTGCAAGTGCTAGCATCTATTATAAACTTTAAGTTTACAACTTTGATAAACAAACTATGGATAGCTTAATTAATAGAGGTATCATTGGTGGATTTGGAGCATTCATTTATTTTAAAGGATTAAATTTAGTACTTGTGTCTGAATCTATTCTTTTGAATAGAATGTCACCTTTATGGACATCAATTATCTATATAATAGTGTTATAAAAAGAACAATTCAATAGAAGATTATTAATAAATATGACACTCTCTGGTTTAGGAATATTTTTAATTGCAAAAAACAACAATTAGACACAAATTACAGTTGATTCATATTATCATTGGATAGGCATAATTTTGATATTGGTAGCTTCTATAACATAAGCCATAGTTAATATTTTAGTTAAATCTGTCAACAAATAAGTATTTTTCATATGCTCCAATTTAGGTTGATAGTATTGTTATAACTTTATATTAAGCATTTTTTGCTATAAATTTACCTGTAATCAATTCTCTATTTGATGGAACTAAGTATTTATATTTATTATTATATAGTTTTAAGATACCATCATTTAATGGAACCTTTATGATAGTAATTGCATCTGTAATATCCTTATTGGCTGGAATATTGTAGGTTTAATCTATGAGAGAGGGCAAATTAAGTGTAGTTTCGAATGTTAGTTAAATTCAACTTTTTTTTGGATATCTAATTGATTTTTTTGTTTTTTCTGCAAAATTCAATTAAGAATAGATAGTAGGAAACATCTTATTATTATGTTCTTTAATTCCTCTCATTTGGAAATGATGAATACTTAATTAAATAAAATTTAGTTATTGTATAATTTTAAATTCAATTTCTGTAAATTTATAGGCTTTAAGAGGAAGGGATGAAACGCTATTAAAAATTTAAAACAAATATATGTTGTTTCTGTATTAAAATATTAAATATGATTAAAATAATAAATATATATAATATTTTGAAATTTGATATAATGTTTAGTAATTTATTTAATTCCAGATATTAAATTTAACTAAATCAAATAGGAGTAGATATTTTACATAAAATAAATAACAAAAACAAAATATAGTTTTTATTAAAAGATATTAAATTGTATTTTTTTTATTTTACATAATATGAGTATTTTAATTTCTCTATAATTCTATAGTTTCTTAAATTTAATATTTCAGATAAATAGATTATTTTTTTAATTAAATTTTTATGGATTAATTTATAGCATAATTTAGTGATAAAAAAAGTGGAATAGATATAAGGAATGATGTGGCAAATAAGTAATATAAGAATAAAAATATTAAAGCAAAGACATGACTATATTAATTTAAGCAATGCGTAAAATAATGAGGGAAAAGAATCCACCTAAAGAATGTTTATATGGCTTGAAAGTGGTCAAGGATTGTATTGAAATGTTTAACAATAAATTTAAAAATTAAGTCAAAAATGAATTGATTGAACTCATATATGAAGTAGCTATTTACAGGATTCAAGTTAACGATGATTTAAGAGGGAATACATATTTCGAAAATCCAGATGATGAAAAATCGATCAAATAATTTGGAGCCAGTTATATACGATTAGCATTAGATTGTATCAGAGTATGGTCTCTTTGGTTTCCTGACTTCAAAATTTATGGAGAGAGATTAGAAAAAGAATAAGGATATTTACCAGATATAATCTATTTCAAATAAGATTTAATTAATAAGCACATTCCTAAAATTTAAGTAGCTGAAACACTTCTTGATTATAATGGATCAATTTAAACTAAAATGAGATAAGTGAATGATCAATTAATTAATTATCTGTAAACTTATACAGAAATAAATTCTTTCCTTTAAGATGAATTAGAAAAAATAAATATTTAGATTATAGACTAGATATTTTAAAAAGTGAATATATAATTTTTAGAGAAATACATCTTAATATATCCTAACTTAAAATATGGAAGAATTTCTTATGAAGAATTTCGTATGCAACTTTAATCAATTTTATAATAGAATTAGGGTTGTCAAAAGGTGGAATCCTAAAAATAGTAAACAATTAATCAATTTCCATAATAAAAATAATTCGAATAAGTTTAGTAAAGTTAAATAATTAAAAATGATGAACAAAAAGAAATTGAAAATTTAAAAAGTCATTTAAAGTTAGCATAATTAGAATGTGATAAACTTCGTACTATCATTTAATAAAAGGATAAAGAAATATAAGAGATATAATTTGAACTTAATAAATATAAAGTTGAGACAGAAGATCTCAAAATTAAAAGTTCAAATGATTCATTAAATTATGAACGCTTATTGAAGGGATTTTAACAATAGATCGATAATTATAAGCAGTTATTTGAATTTTCTTTAAAAAACTCAAATTAAGAGTAATTGGAATTAATTACTTAACATTAATAGGAATAAAAATAAAATTAATAAAAGGAAATAGTGAATTTTAATGTTGAAAGAAATTCTCTATTATAGCAATAAAAAATATAATAATAAAAAAGTGATACTAATATTATTGAATATGAATTTATGACTCTGAAGAAGAAGTATGATGATTTATATAATAAGTATATTATTTTGAAAGAAGAGAATATTAAATTCAATTAAATACATTAATAGTATGAAGATTAAATAGAAAATTAAAATAAAATAAATTAAAGTCCTTCTAAATTACAAGTTTAATCCAATAACAATTAAATTTAATCGATAATAGATTCTAATATGAATGATGTTTCAAAATTAATACATCCTCATAAAAATGTTTCTGATTAATATAGGTTAAATAGAAAAAAGTAGTTTAAAGGAAAATTGATTAATAGATATGAATTAGGGTTATAATTGGATTAAATTAATCTCCACAATTTTAAGAAAGCTAGCTTAAATAAATTAGATACACTATACTAAACAAATTAAATTGAAATTAAATCTAGATAATAACTAATCTATGATTAAAATAAATAAGAATTTGTTTCCACAACTATCAGCATAACAAATAAGGGATTATAAGTTATTTAATTTGAAATTATAGAAAATAATTAAAATATATAGGTTAATAAAGAAACTAAAAGCACTTTGATTTAATCACAACAGACTATCATTTATGAATTCATAAGAGAACCAAATGTTATGCTTCATAAATTAACATAAATAAACATTTCTGTTAAGTAATACTTAAATATTATATTAGTTTTGATAATTCTATACTTTATCTTCCAAGTATTTTAATAAATTGTATCAAATTTTATCCAATTGAAGCTATTACTTTCAAATAAATAAAAAAATATTTTTAAGGTTAAATTTTAGCAACTTAATTGCTACCAATAGGTTGTAAAGCAGAATTAATATAATTAAGTGAATAAGGACAACTTTTGAATTAAATGAAATTAAAAAATAAAGATTCAATAATTGAAAGTAAATATGGATTTAAAGCTGTCTTATAAAATTAATAAAAATTTTATTTAGAATTAATTATGACACCTTGTGATGAATTTCTATTTAGAGGATTCACACCCTTTGATGAAGAAAAATTGCAATTCATTTTAAATGGTTTATCAAATTTATATAGTTGATTTTTTATTTTTATGTAATATTAATTGATTAAAAAACATCTAAGTTTTTATGATTTCTTAATAAAGAAGAAATTATTATAATAGAATATGTTTTGATCATTTCAATGATATTGAAATTCTTAGTTCATTTATTAAAATAACATTATACTCTATAATGTAGAATGAAAACTTCCATAAACTGCTTTCTCTTACATTGAATATTCTATCATGGCAATCTTTGTCTTTTGTAAATAAATGTTTGATTCATAAATAAGTATATTGTCTTTTATAATTATGAAGTGTATATTTATAGGAATACAAAATAAATTATTGAGATTTTAACTCATCTTCATTAGAGTTGAATGATTATAAGCCTCTTCAAGATTAGAATATTTTAATGAATATCTATTTAATATATGTATACTATAAATATATTGATAACATATGTTTAGTCATTTTATTACATTAGTGAGAGAAAAACATAAAAGATAGCAAAAATTGCAAAATATAATTAAGATTAAAATTATATCCAAATATAAATATATATTTAATTTTATTATTTAAATTTATTATTTTTTAAGATATTTAGACATATATTTTTCTATTAAATAATCTATTAATCCTATTAATATAAATAATAGTAATTAGTTTTAATGATATAAACTTATAATGAAATTGTTTAATACAAAGGATTTAACAATATAAAATTTATAAATAAATTAGATACTCGTTTACAAAATTATTTTATTAAATTTTAATTTTTATAGATGAAAAGCTATAATCATTTTTCACACTTATTTATTTAATTATACATATTCATTATATAAACATCTGATATTAAAGGATTTAATGACAATTTTTAAATTGATCATAAAAATTTTAATTAAATTTGGAATTAATTGGTTTTTACAGAATGTCTGACATTTAACAAGGACAAATAGTGGCCAATTTATATAAAGTTCTAAAACTTCTATCTTAAGGTTCATTTGGGAAGGTATATCTTGGAAAAAACTTAAAAACTGGAGAAAGTGTAGCTATAAAAGTGGAAAAATAAGAAATGCAAAGGTTTTTTAGCTTAAACAGAGAAGTTTATATTAGAAAATAATTTAGATAGATATTTTAACCAAATTACAAGGAATTTAAGGTGTGCCTGAATTAATTTGGTTTGGAGAACAAAATGGTTTATAAATTATGATTACAAATATGCTGGGATTTGATTTGATGTACTTTTTAAAAAAACATAAAAAATTTTCAATAGATTGTGTATTCAATATAGCATATCAAATGTTAGAGATTTTAGAGAAAATACATAAACTGTAAAAAGATGTTTTAAAATAAATTATAGAAATATCATTCATAGAGATTTAAAACCAGAGAATATATTAGGAAAAGTTAATAGTAATCAAATACATTTAATCGATTTCGGAATAGCTAAAGATTTAACAAAAAAGTCTAAATTTACTTATTAGAAAATTCCTTTTATAGGTACTAGTAGATATGCAAGTATATCTGCTCATTTTGGAGAAGAGTAAAACAGAAAAGATGATTTAGAGGCTTTAGGATATGTTCTAATATATTTGATTAAGCAGGAGTTACCATGGATGAGATGTGAAAAATAATAAGATAACCGCTTAATAAAAATAGGATAAATGAAGAAAAACTTATCATTAGAAAAAGTTTGTGAAGGATGTCCTTAATAAATTTTTAAGTAATTAATGAATTATTAAATGAAAGTTATATGAAATAAATCTAGACTTTGACAACAAAATAACTTCCAAATTATAGAAAACTAAAAGGAATATTTGAAAATAGTCCTATTTATATAAAATGGGTTATTTTTGATTGGTACGAATGTCGTTATAGAAATTATAAATCTAAATAGGAATTAAAAGTAAATTAGTAAAAGAAAAAGAAATATGACAGTGCTTAATAAATCTAATTGTATTGATAAAAGACTTGATTTTTAGGTCAATTGAAAAGACTCCATCTAAAGCATCTCGAATAAATAGATCAACTACAATGTATGGTAATTCTAATCCATCATCTTAATTAAATAGTATGGAATCTGATAATAAAAAACGATCAATAAAAAGTACAGAAAGTATTTATGTTGATTTTGTGAATTCTGATTCTTACTTTCTTTCTAAGAATAATTTATAAAAAGCTGAAACTCTTAATCAAATTTTTGAAGCTGATGAATTTATGCCACTCAGAGACTAACTCTAATTAATGCAATAGGAGAATTAGGATCTTGAGATGAAACATCATCTATTACATTATCGTTCTGTCAACTTTAATTTCAAGAACCCTATTCAAAGATATCTATAATTCTAAATAAATTGATTAATACTTAAATATTGATAAAATGTTACCAAAATATAATCATACTAAATATAAACTTAATAGTTATGTTACTTGAATTAATAAAGTTATTGTAAAACTATATTTACTTTTTTTACTATTTAGAATGCTTGTATTCTAATCTTATGATAATGGTTTTCTAATTAAGGTTGATACATAGTCTTTATAAGTAGTTTTTAATAAATAAAACATATTTTTTTCTATTTTATTTATTATAATATAATATATGCATTGATATTATCAATCTCTTTTAAATTACTGGAATGATTTAATTTAGGATCTAAATAAGTGATTAAAGGTTTTTTTGGAAAGATAAATAACAAATGAAACAATTAATTATGTTTATTGTATAAATTGTATTATAGATTATAATATTGTCTGAGATGTTTTAAGTTATTGTTAAAGTGTGATATTTAATTAAAAATATTTAGTACAACACTTAAAAATATAAAATATTAACTTTTCAAAACTAATAATAGATGGGATGTGTAACTCAAAAACAAAAGAAAGATTTTAAATTTTCTACAATTCCTATTTAAGAATAACGATAGGACGACCTAGACGAATGGACAAAAATCATTCAACAACAACAGGGCAAGCATTTGAATTATTCAGGAAAGGCAATTATGACTAAAAGCAAAACTCTATCAGCTAGATATCATCAACCTTTAGAATAAATTGATGAAGAAGAAGTGTGAGTAGTTCTGATTTTTTATATTTTCTCAATTTCCTTAATTTCTAACAATAACTTAAATAAAATGTAGTCTTCAAGAGAAGAGATATATAAAAAAATGTGCCATCATAATCTGATGACATAATTGGAATTGTTTTAAAGATTTTTCGTTATTTAATTAAATCATAAAGTTAATATACATATATAAATATTAGAGAGTATAGAGACTCCTATTATCTAAAATTGTATACCAAATTTAAATAGCTGATAAAAATCATCTAAGTTATGATGTTACTCTATTAACAGACTCTCTAATTAAATTCTAATTGTATTTCAACATAAATAATAAAAAATTTAAATTATTTACTTCATGAAGTTGTTCTCTTATCGAATCATATAATGAAATACAAAAAGATATGATTGAGTTTTGAGATATTAGATTTATTTAATTAAAAAAGCTTATAGAATTTATATGATTGAGTTCTATACAACTGTTTTTGAAATGAGAGTTTTACTGTAAATTAAATTACATATGCAGAAATTCACAAAATTCGATATTGTAATTCATCAGTTTTTCTTAATTTTATTTGTATGAATAAGTATGAAATCTATTATAGCAACTAAAGGATGACTTCAACAAAACAGATATTAAATTAGATTGTTAATATGTTTTTAATGAATTACTCAAAAATTGTGTTGTTTGATTGATCTATATTTTAATATCATATCATAATTTTATATATAATATATATAATTATTACATATATATCTTTTAGGAAAAATGGATGTAGAATTTGTTGGAGGAAAGTAGGAATTCCTAGAAGATAGTATCATATACTCAATTGCCAGAGTTTTAGATGAAATCGTTAGAGAGACAGACATAATTGAGAGTCCATAACAAACTGTATTTCATACAAATAAAAAACCTTCAATAAGTCTTGCAAAGTACTTGGAGCGTATTTAAATGTACTCTTATTGCAGCAATGAATGCTTCATCTTGGCATTAATCTATATAGACAGAATCTAAGAAAAGAACCAAGATGTTGTTATCAATAGTTTTTGTGTTCATAGGTATAAAAAGATCTCTATATTAGATTTATGTTCGCTTGCATCCTTCTTAGCATTAAATATAATGATGATGATTACTATAAGAATGATTACTATGCCAAAGTCGGAGGAATCACAATCAACGAGTTAAACAAATTAGAATAAGAACTGTTAATAATGCTCGATTACGAGCTTTATGTTAGTTAAAAACAATACTACTTTTACAAGGATAAATTGATGAAATACGCAGAACTATGATTATATAAATTATATAATGGAAATGACAAAGAGATTGGAACATAAATTCAATTATGCATTTGAACAATTTTGTTTCCTTTGTGTTTTCACTATGCACATATTCATGTTGTAACCATGAATTTCTAGTGCAAATATCCACAAAGAGTGGGTTACTTTCTTATTTTCTAAAGCAACTTGATTACTCAATAAGTAAAATTGTGAAATAGATATCAATTCATTTTAAAACAAAAAAATATTCATTCTATACATTCTTTACAAGTTTTTCTTATTAAAGTACAATCTTATATTCATTAAAAATAAACATTTCAATTCCATTTCAAATTTTTTTAGTCTATAATCAGATTATTTGAATCTTTAAAATTTCATCTCTACATTAAAAAATTCTCAAACTCATTTTCATATCACCAAGAAAACACATTATAAAACATTTAATTCAAAATTATATTCATAATTGTGGATTAAAATTCTTTACTAATCAATTATTTTTTACTAATTAATGAACATAAATTATTTTAATCGTTTTTATTTTATCATTCTATCAAAGTCATACTCTAAACATTAGAATTTTATATATAAACTTTCATTTTAATATTTAATGATAAAACAAGATCTAAATTTTTAATTTTATTAAAGCTTCAAATCCAAAATGAATTATATATTTTTTATGATTATTAAATTAATATAAACATTCTCTTCTTAAAAAAGATAATCAATACAAATTTATTAACTCAAATACATATTAAAATAGACTACATACTACATTAGTCAGTTGTTACTTCATCTATTGAATTAGTAAATACTTTCTAATTAAAATTGATTATTATTTTTTATTAATGATTCTTATAATATCAAAAAAACAATTACTAATTAAAGATTGTATCATATCATCCTTTATATTGTTGTTAATCTATTATTTTTTTTTAGTTTATATAATGGATTAGATTATCATTTAATTTGCTATTAAGTCAGAGTAAGGGGATTTTTAAGTCGTTAAAATAATAGGAGATATCCTCTCACATTTATTGGATAGTTTATTTTAGAAAAAGGCCTATGAGCAATAAAATACTAGAGTAATATTATCCATAGAGTATAATTTTACCTATAAAACTTAAATTATTTGATAAATTCAAATAAAATGATTAATATTTGTGTTTGGTTAATATTAATAATAATATATTTATAAATTAGTTATAAAAATCAGAACCGGAAAGCTTTTCAGAATTTAGTATAGGAAAATATTTAAGAACTTCAAAATCAAAAGAATTTTAGATAAATTAAATCAAAATATCAATAGATCTTAATTAATTTCTGCTTCAATATACCTAAAATAAGATAAATTTGATTGAATTCTTGGGCATTTTAGAGGTGAAAGGAAGTTGTATACCTTTGAAAGGAAGAAACTTATAACTAAATTAGAATTTTATCTGAAATTGCCTCAAGAGACGTGTAATCAAAGATTTCAACTAAATTTATTGTCAAATCCAAGTTATAGCCTCTTATTGAATTTTGATTCCTAGTTTTATTTTCAATTACTCTTGAATTCAAATTAAGTATATCATATTAGATAATAGATATTGAGGATAACCCAATATTAAAGATAAGTGATTTCATAATAACTTAAATATTATTTAAAGTATAATAACTTGTAAAAAATAAATATGATTATTCTTTATAATAAATTAAAAAAAATATCTTAATAAGGTAAAACAATCTAAAATCTATAAATAAGTTGATAACTTAATCATTTGTCTCTCAATTTGATTTTGTTGAATCAAAAATTATTTATAGTAATTAGTATTAATTTTGGATTAAAGTATTAATAAAAAGATTTATATATTCAGTTTTTAGCAGTAGATGGACGCTTACGTGATTTTTCTAGCTAGACAAACTGAGTAAAATTAGCATAATTCCCTGGTCCTGGCACTTATTAATTGTTATATATTAATACCTCCACTTTTCTCTGCAGCTCTAACAGCTTCATCAATAAAACATTTTCTATGGGCATTTCCAAACTTACATTTAGAATAACAAGATTTTGATTAAGCATAGTATTCTCCTGGTCCAGGATTAAAAGTTGAATCAGTTGAAAATCTTTCAGGCTTTTTGTTGATAGATATACTTCGCTGCTTATAAAAATTTTGATCATAAGTCCCAGGACCAGGTATTTCATGAGCTTGATAAGTTTTACTTAACTTTTCACCAATTTTATAACCAATTGTCTTGTTAGGACTTTAATTATAAGCCCCAGGACCTGGTACTCGATTTCCTTAATAATATGTTCTATATTTAACAAGATCTCTGCCTAATCCAAAACTTGTCCCCTTTTGATTTGAGAAAGAACTGGTAGGATCATAATAGTTTTCTGTGTAGAAATGAATTTTGGTAAAGTCAAACTTTTTGCCATAACCAAATCCAGATGCTCTAGTACTGCGAAAATAATTTGGTTCATAATAGTCTGTTTAACAAGGAGTACGTATTCTTTGAAATCTAGGTGCTTTTGGAAAACTGAATTAAACTGATGCTTAAATATGTTAAGACATTATAAAAATAAAATTAATTAAATCAACAAAAATTAATTCATATTAATTATTATTTTTATAGATATTAATAATATCTTTAAGATCTTATTATGATAGAATTAGAAATACATTTTGACTTTGGGATAGATTTTTTTAAAATGTAATCCAATTTACTATTTATTTAGTTAAAGAAATACTCAATTTAATATTAATGTATGAATTACATGAAAAACTGATGAGTTATCGATTTTCATTTGATCAATTTATTTTATTTTATCATACATTATTCTTTAAGTTATTAAATCTCTTTCTAATAGACAATTTGATAAGTATTATTTCAATATATCTTTATGAAATATAAATACAGATTTTATATTTTTCATAATAAGGTGTAGATTTACAAAATTATTAGGTTTAATTCTTAAATCCAAATATAACTTGTATATTTTAACATCTTATTGAATTAATTTATTCTCATTATTTTATTTGTTTATTCATAATAATATATACCTATAGAATATCTGAGTTTGAGTCTCTTATTTATTCTCTTAAAAAATAATAAACTAAATAATCATTCCATTTATTTTTAAATTAATACTCTATTTGTTAAATTATAAATGATTTATTTTAAGATAAAATTTGTAGATTATCATATTATTACGATTACTTTTTTTAGATAATTTATTTGTTTATGTGTAACATTCTGAATTATTTAACAACTATAATTAATTTCTCTAACATTTACATCTAGCTGTATATTAATTATTTAGTTTTGTTGATATTCATCTGTTTATCTTATTAGCTTTTTTAAATAAAGTATTTTGTATTTCAATTAAATTTAGCTAAATTATCATATATTTTATGTTTTTTATCTAATAATTTCTATAGATGATATTTAGTTCTCATTAATTAAATACAAGCATTGTATAATAAATGAGAGAAAATCAAATATTAGAGTAGAGGAGTGAGTTTGGACACTAATCAAATAAATTAATGGATTATAAAAATAATATGAGTTTTGATAATAATTATAAATATAATGGAAAGTGCTTTTATTTTTGGATGTCTCTTTGGAATGGGAATCAGAATGACAGTGAGTCGAGTAATACGTCAACCACTTTTATATAGTAATTAGTTTATTAAATAATATAGAGTGTTATTAGTATCCAAAATATATGTTGTATACAGGAATTGCATTCTCTGGATTTGATTGGATTCGTCGTCTTTCATTAGAAACTTTATGTGAGAAAGAGGAATTATCTGAGTATTTGGTTCGTACAGCTCGAATCAATTAGCTTGCAACTGGAGCTGAATCAGTAGGGGATTACAAGAAGGAATTTATCTAAATAGCCGTAGACGAGCACATATATTGATTATCATGTCATAAATCAAAATCATCGTTGAATTCGCTGTTGGGATTGCTCAGACTTTCCATCAGCCCTTTAATCTTTGCTTAATCTTTCATATCAAGTGACATAGCCATATTGAAACAACTAAAAAAGCATAAAAATATTTAATATCACTTTTATGCTTCTTGAATTCTATTCAATTTTTTTAATATACGTCCCATAAGTATATAAATGGCAGCTTCTTTGGGAATAATTTAACTTAAACATTACAATTCACTTAAAGCTTATTAATATAAATCCAATTTAATTAATGAATTTGCCTATTGTTAAAATCTATAATACTTTCTAGTATTTATTAAGTCCATTCATAGGATCTAACTTTTCACTTTATTCAAAATATTTCAAAGCTTCATTATGTTCACCTTTGGCTGCATAACTCATAGCTAAAAATGTTGGTAAAACAGGATTATTAGGATTTATTCTTATGGCTTAAATAAAACACTTAATAGCATCATCATATTTATCAGTCTTATAATACATATTACCTTAACCCCACCAAGCATTATATTATCTTTAATCTAGTGAGGTTGCAGCTTCATATGATTTTTTTGCTTATTGAAAATTCTCATTTTATGAATATTCATGTCCAGACAAAGTGTAAGCATATGAATAATCTTTTCTTAATTGAATGGCTCTTCCAAAGAATTTGATTGAATTATCAATTTCTTTAATTAAACTAAAACAATTTCCAATTGCAATCCATGTTTCAGGTGCTTACATAGAAATTTATAAACAAGAATGTGCTAAATATGTTAATTCTGATTATTTCTTTAAATGCCATAAACAAGATGAATAATAATCCATTCCTTCTAATCGAGTTGGCTCAATTTATCTCATCTCTTTCCAAACTCTTTCAGCATCTGTATATTTGACTTAATCCATAAAACTTCTGGCAACTTTCTCTAATACCCATCCTGATCTATAATGTTAAGGAGGTAATTTCTAAAAATTTGCTATTGAATCAACTGAATAGTTAGTCCATAATTGATATGGATGAGCAAATAATTTTAATAATTGAGGTAAGCTTCCAGTAGAATAATTTCAATACTTTATTAAACTAGGTTATGATTAAAGAGATGCACTGCTAACTTTCTATATATCACTCTTTTTTGTATTGTAATTCTTATTTTAATTTTATAATAACTGAAATGGTTAACTTAATAGAGACTAATAATTTTATAATCCAATTCCAGGAGTTGGGATTATCTTAGCCCCAATCTTCTTTTATTAAGGTTCTTAAAATATTATCAAATTTACAGGAAAATTTCATTTAACTATTTGATGAATCATCTAAATGAATTATTTAAGCCTATACTCCAGTTGTTGAAAATGGTTTCACTCCTTATGTTAATCTTTTATTTGCCAATTACTTATAAATTAATTTTAAATTACATTATCAATTATTAAAGATTCCTCTTTAACATCTTCAACTTCTTTTGAACCTGATTTACTAATATTTGATTTGCTTTTAAGTAAGTTACCAATTATTTTGTAAATGTTACAACTCTATTATCTACTAGTTTCATATTGTTTTTATTTTTGTTCAATAAACACTTTATTTATTGTAACTGGTTCACCAATCTTGGATAATCTTTCAAAAGCCATCCAAAGAGTTGGATTCTAATCCAAAGCCTTATAATATGAAATTTTAGCATCATCTAATCTATGCATTTATTCATAAATTTATCCTAACAAGAAATGACCAAAACCTCCATTTGGTATATTTGTTGTCTATAATGAAAATTGATTGCTAAATTAAGGTCCAATTAAAGCATTCTCAGCTTCCTTATATTTTTTACTTCTGAACCATGCAACAGCCAATTAATAACTATGTTTCTATTAAATATTTTCATATACCGATTATACTCTGATTTGCATTCCTTCAATATATGGCATACTTTATAAGGTTGATTCTCATGTAAATAGCATTCTGCCAATAATGATCTATGCTCTTCTGTATCTCTTTCATACACCAATCTCTCAGCTATTGAAATTTGAACTCAACACTCTTTACCCAAAAAGATAGCATTCTATTCCATATGATTCTATAACGAGTCTAGAATTGCTTCTATCAATTAATATTCCAATTAACTCTTTATTTGTTGTCCCTCTTCTTCTATCATCAATATTTCAAAATTTCAAATAATTATATATATATATACGTTCAATTCAATAAAAAAAAATGAACATTTTTGATCATTTTGATTAATTAGATTCAATTTACTATCAAATACATTATAATATGATCATATATATTTCATTCATATACATTTGACAACCTCCTTTTATTATTTTTCCCATAATATTAAATCATATATAAAATCTCATTTAGATAAAAAAAGAAGAGTTCTAATATAGAGTGACATTCGAAGCATCAGATTTTGACTAATAAATCTGTTTGTCAAGTTCACTCAAAAAGTAAATCAAGAAAACGGGTGGCAGCTTAGCTTACAATAGTTTATGCTTGTCAATTAGATTTTCATACATTCATATTTTATTTTATCGAAAAATAACTCAATTTCTTAACTACTTTATTTTCTTATCTATATTTTTATTATAAATATATATATTCATCTACAGAATAACTGCAATCTATTAATAACTCAATAAAAAAATTATCACAATTATTAATTTATATTCATTTCATTATTATTATTATTCAGAACATCCAATAATAAAATATAAAATATATAATAATAATTTTACATTCTGATTTGCAAATTAGCAATATTATTCATTAATTTCAAATATATCTGAAGGATTTGCATATTTTTTATAATATTAAAATTAAATTAAATAATGAGCTTAATAGTACGCCAAAGAGTAGGGATGCATGATGAGTCCCTTACTTAAACAATACAAACTAAGAATATATAAAAAAAAAGTAAGCTTTTTTATAAAGTTAGAACTTCAAACAAGAAAACGTCACCAAACTAAACAACTCATCTGTCTAGTTTCAGTACCTAAACCATTTAAAGAACATGTCTATATCAAGTCAAATGTAGAACTGAAATTAGCTCTATCTTTTATACCAGATCATTGTCTAGGTGCTTTAAAAGAAACACCCTGCACCTATAATTATAGAGTCTCACGCACTGACTAAATTGATGACGTCTATTTTTACACTCTTGAATTGCTCGACTAAGCCAACCATTCCATTGATCAAATCACTTAACTACTTTCTCATTAATCTGACCCTCATGCTATTAAGGCAGCTTAATTAGTATAGGAACGACACAAAATTCTTCAAGAATATACTCTACAACCATATATATCTAATGAAGATCTACTTGAAGTTGAAAAAATAGCACAAGAATATCCTTATTAATGTACAATCCAAAAGGTTAATAAGGATTCCAGTTCTTTGTCTTAGAGAATTGTTAATGAATAATTCTATACTCTCATGGGAGTGAGTAGGGAAATGATGTTAAATCACTTACATGACACTAAAACACTTCCATCAATTTTCGATCTTGGGCCTTCTCTTAAATTATGGTGTGATTTATCTGCCAATTCGATTTAATCATTTCGATCATTTGAGACTTATATTAACACATATGAAGGTGCTCAATACAAATGTACAGTTGAATAGAGGCAAATGTTTAAAAGAAC